CAATAGATTCCGAGGACTTTGAAGACTTTGATCATCGGTAACTATAGATTTCGAGGACTTTGCTGGAGGACTTTAAACTCTAAGTACCAGCGTAACAAATATCAAATAGCTCGATAACAAATATCAGCTTCTAGCTGCAAAAGGTTCGATCTGAAACTTCGAAATGAACGAGTGTCAGCTATTTTGAGGACATTTTTTAAGCCGATACTTTATCTCGAAACGAAGGTCTGCATTCTGGAAGAGGGAATCAATGGTCCGATGGAATATTGAAAACTTTTCGATTACAGACATATAGTCGTCGAATGACAAGTTCACGAGTTCGATCTTTCCTCTGGGCGCAGGTGTTTCGAATCAGTTTTCGCGATGAAACTCGAGTGGCGCATTAGAGAATATGGCACTAATTTAAGTAAACAAATTACAGAATGGGTTATTGGAAATCTATGATAAAAGGTACTCGTAACAAAAAACCTATCCAGCGTATCACTCGCGATCAAACGGTGCTCCAGTTCTTTTATAATCGAATGTCGATCGAACGATGACGAATCTGTCCGTTGATTGATTTCCAGTCTTGCCGACTTTACCGAGCGTGCAAGAACACGATGACGACCCGTGTGTCGCGACAGAAAAACCGCACGATTCATCGGCCTGAGATGGCAAGGAAGGTTAGATGTCTGAGGAAAAAGGTCAGCTCACTGGTTGGCCTTTAATCCCCTCATCGAGTTCCAATTAATACACGTCTGTCGGTCGTTATTCAACATTCAGAAGGAACGGAGAGCAGATTAATTGGTTCGCAGCGATTTAAAATCGTCGACAACGAATGAACGTCCAGGCTGGAAAGGACCTTTCCGTTTTCTTCTATTTCTCTTTTCTCCTCCAGCCGCTGCTGGATTAAGGAAATCATCCTTCTGGGATGAAGTATTTGCGGCGCAATGGGAACTTTCGTAGGCCGATAAGAGGGGACCGAATTGGATTCGATAAGAAGATCGGGAAGAATTTTGTGACCGAGGTTAATGGGGAGAAATGAAAAGCAAATAGAATCGGAATCGACGAATCGGCCGGCGCACGGGACACCGTGAATATTCGACAAATATTTTTTAATAACATCCCCTCGACGCGAGCAAATGACGCGTGAAAAATGAACATTTACATTCTTTCCCTCGTTCCGACTCTTCGTAAAAATGATCATAGCTTTTTAATCGCGCTTCAAAGATCGAGATAATTGATTCTCGTAAAGTTTGCTTCAGAAACTGCCACCGTTTTTATCGCGCAATTCGCGTTTCTTTATTTTAAAAAGTCATAAAGCCTGGCTGGAGCTACTTCAACGGAACGAAATTGCAAGATAAAACAGTGTATGCGTAATGTACTGCATTATCAAGGTATTTCTAGCGCGCGATGGAGGACAAAGGTGACCCTGTTAACGACCTTTCTTAATCCAACGATCTCACGCTCCGCCGAGCGAAGGTTACCATGCTCGATAAACCAATAAATTTTAATAATCGCGAGAGGAAAACAAACAGCCGATCGAACGTTTCTCCTATTCTTTTAACTTTAAAATTCCTTCACGAAAAAGGTCCGTTATGCAACCGTGTCAACGAAACGATATCGTAACAAGGAACAAAGAAACGAAAATGTATTTTTTCCAAGTTTTACGCGGGTATGCCATGGTCCATATCCTGACCATAACTATAACCATAACCGTGACCATAAGATCCAATATTGGAAACTCTCTTATTTAATAACCGCGGCGGTATTGTAACCAGCTTGTCCCTTTTGTTTGGCCACGTTAATGATAAAATCAATTTCCCAGGGCTCTTTCGAGACTCGTTATTCAACTGTGTAGCCTGTCACGTTACCGCAGGTACAACAGAAGAAGATATAACGTTTTACTCCCTTGTTCATAAATCGAAGTACGACATAATCCTCTTAATCCTCGACGTTGGCTCTACTAATTTTTCTCTTAAATTATCGTTACACGTTCGCAATTAGCACTACGTCATTGGTACTGGACACCCGATTAATCTCATTATCGAATTACGCGTTAAATTTCCGGTTACTAGTATTAATATTCGCTTGCTACCGGATTACTTCTGATTTATGTTCTACAAAGTCTCAAAATTACCCTCCCTATACGATGAAACTACTGCAAAAATAATAATTTTGGCCTGGCTTGTAATGTCACTTCCCGATTATGTAAATACTGTTGCATTTATACATTCTGTTTGGAAAGTTGCTCAGGGATGAATGAGTTCGAAAACTAAATTTAAAGTTTGTACTAAAAGTGCATGTACGAGTAAAAAAGGACAGGCTCCAGTCGACTTTTCGAGGGATAAGCAAAGAAGAAGAGCAGCGAAAATGATCGCCCCTGAAACAATAACGAAAATATTGTCTCGCCGCCTGTCAGAAACGAGGAAGAAAAGCAGGAGGAAACAGTTGCCTCGTTAAATATTGCATGGAACTTTGTATCCGGCTCGATCAAACGTTTACAAGGGTCGAAGAAAAGCTGGCAAAGAAGTTTCCGCGTGCGAGCTACGTGCGGAACTTTCGTCGACGACACGGTTCGTTGTCGAGGGGAACACGGAGGTCCGATTAATGGTCAAACTAACACTCCACACGCCCGGAGCCACGAAACAAGCTGGCTTCGGGGTGTCAGCGACCCCCTCCTTTCATCGAATGTCACGGATTCGGAACTTCGGTCAAGCTGGAAAACGCAAATACCATTTCGCAATTACGTCACCGCGTATCCGGTCATTTGTGTAGCGGTACAGAAAGACGGACCGACAAAGACAGACAGAACATGTCCTCGGTGATTACAAACAGCTGGACACCGAGTAAACATCGAGTCCCCCTCAATGGGAAAACTCTGAACAATGTCGTCGTCGGTTCCCGTTTCGAACAGAGAGCTTTACGGATCGACGACCAGGTGGGCGAGAAAAACGGTGAATGGGTCGAGGTAATGCTGCTCGAAAGAAGCCGTAATTGCTTAATCCTCGTGGCTCCGTTGGTGCCAAGAAACCGCAACGACCCGATGGTCCAGCTGTTTGCTTCGCTCGATTTATCTACGTCGATGTAACACCAACTAAACTTCACCTTAGCTGATCCTGCAGCTTTTTAACGAATAAAACCGAGGTTTAACGGGACACGCCCGTCTCGGACCGGATACGCTCCAGGGAAATTCAATTTTGTTAGCTGGATCTGCGAATCTGATCTGGCGAATCCGAGCCACCGGAAATTCGCCGAATTCAAATTCTGTAGAGATCAAAGGCGTGAAAGAGAAATGATTCGACCGATCACAACCTTTGACAATATTCGAATACACCAATCAAAGACACGAGCTACATTATTGAATATTAATTTTAATTTTATCTTCGACTGCTACGAATTATTTTACTAAATTTTGCCATCCACGTCAGAGGTAACAATGGAGATCCCCTATGTTATACAGATTGAAAAAGTCGATTACATACCATAAGCAGTATTAACTTCAGCAGTACTTTGCGTACTCCTAATACTTCACGATTCGAACTGCGCAGGGTTGAAAATTTTCGGCAACGTAATTTCACCGACTACATCGATGATATTGCATCCATGCAGCTCTCCATCCCTTGAATGAACGAATTGTCGAACGATGAAAACGCTTGTTCGTTGAGTTTTTCAACGGAGTTTAGAGTTCGCCCTTTCGACGGACAACTCTGGTACAGATTCAATTTGTCGGCCGGCTAGATCTCGAAATCGGATCTTTCAAAAAGGGGTGGGGGGATTAAAGCCGGAGGGGGAACCGATGAAACTTTCGATCGCACGAAATTAGTGTCGAGCCGTGCTTCAACGAGACGAAAAACGACAAAGCTTCCGAACAGAGTTGCGACTTTCAACGAAAGCAACTCGTATCGCTTGGCGATAAAACGGTGTTTGCCTAGAGACAAAAAGGACGACACAATTTTACCCGGTATTCTTTTGTGAGATTAGGTCGACAATAGACTGGGGAAAACGGAAAGATCAAGCTCCGTTTTATTTGACTGACAGATTTTCTCGACGATGATAAAGAATGTTTGAGCAAAGAAATGACAACGAATTTCCCCATTAAAATACCACAGTATACGTATTATAATATTTCAGGATTTAATATCGATTCATTTATATTATGTAACAAGAGTGTTAAATTTTAATACGCTTATAATTGGACTATCAAACTTGCGGAGCAATTTGTGTCATAAATTATAGATAATTTATAGCGTCGTTTTATTACACGTGCTAGAATATTATAAGGAAATATTTGTAAAACGTAGACGTATTACACGAGAAGCAAACCTGAATTGATGAATTAAAATTATATGGGTATTATCGTTTTATTACACCGTCGTTCAGCACGATTCTACATGTAAAGAACGTGAAGAGGATTTTAAAATAGCTCGAAACAATGAAGAAGAACTTGTATGAATTGCACATATTGAAATTTAACATTCCTATTTCGATCTACATGCGTTTTAACAGCACCAGTGTAAACATTGTCGAAGAAGCTTTAATCGATCCCAAAGATTCGATCCGCTGGTTAATTCGATTCCGCGGATGGACTTTTTTCCCCGATAGAGGTGGAACCCATCGGTTAAGAGCACGAAACTTGGACGCATGAAATCGGGACAATCAACCCTTGTCGCATCCTACCGGATCCCATTTTATTCCCTGACATGGATGGCCGTTCAAACGCGTCCGTGAAAGTGAATAACCTTCTCGGTGGTGGCAGGGAAACACAACCAGAAATTATCGGAATCGACGGTAGGGGAAACCTCATTTCCGAAGGGTAATCTCGATCCGTGAATCGATCTCTGTTCACCAGGATTCGTTGGAAGAGAAACGGGCGTCAGGACGATCGTAAAAAGGAGAGGACCGACTCTCATCCCCAAGACTTTCCAATTTGTTTCCATCATCGAGTTTACCCGATTTTTCCGTTGCTTTTCCATCGAATCGACCGATACGTCTCTTCGTGGTTCCGTCCACGGGTTTACCCTCTCGAAGCACCGTTGCAAAATTGGAGAATTAAACGAGCATCCAACGCCTCTTCCTCCTCTTTACTTTCCACCTCTCGAAACTCTTCGGCGAAAACGTCCAAATTCCAAAGAACAAAAGAAGCTTACGAGGAATCTGTTTACCGATATCACACGCGACTGTTTGCCCGTCACAGAGACATCGATCGCTAGGAACTCGATCTTCTTGGGGCCTCAGGACGATCCCAAGGGAAACAATATAATCCGACGAGCAAATATCGGGGCAGAACGAGCTTGTTTGTTTTCTGGCATCTTAAGCCGCGAATAACGAGAGGGATCGCCTGGAAGGATGAAAAATCCTCTTCGTTTTTCGCCGAGGATCCTCTGTCGCTCACCGAGCCGTCGATCGCGTTCGAGGTTCGCAAACTTCCAAGGCGGTCGTCAAACAACGAACGATCGAGAGAAGGGTGGACGGCAACTACCGCGAGGAATTATTCGGAGCACGACGTTCCGGCTCGCGATTTAAAATCATGGCAACGATCACGGCCCCTCTGCGAGGCCGTGCAACAAGTTATACACCATAACAAGCGTACCGATTGACAGGTTCGCTGTTCACACGCGTCGATCGACGTGCAGCGTCCACGAAAGAACACGATTCAAATCGGTCGTTCGATTCGAGGTCCCGATCTCTGCAAATAATTTGTTCCCCGCGTTCGCGTTTAAAAAATCAAGATAGATCGACCATTTTTCACAAAAGAATCGATAAAGAAAAAAGTATCGAAGAGGTCCACGAGGCACGAGTCGCGAACGTCCGCGAAAAATCGCGATCGAATCGAACCGAGCGGGAACGGCGAAACGATCGATCGAGTTGCCGGTCGCGTAAACACGGCTTATCGATATCCGGTCGATGGCAGGTGAAGGAAAAGCGGCGCGACGTTCGAGAGACCCGTTTGGTCCGGAGTACCGTGCCAGTACTGGTGCCGTGGAGTTTGTTATCGAGTAGCGACGAGAGGAAAGAGCGAGCAGGGTGGTGGCAGCTCCGCTTGGCTGACAAGTAGACAGAGATGGTATTACGCAGGCGCTAACTTCTCTGCTCGCCTCACAACCACCTTCCTTCCACCCTTGCTCTGACAACCCCCTAAACTCGAGTGCTCGACCGCCCCACACGGCCACCGATGCCAACTACACGCTCGCTCGCACCATCCAGCAAAAGCTTATCCGTCTACGCGTCGAAAGAAGATCCTCCTCACGCGTGTACACGTGTGACTCCAGATACGACGCCGCGTAAACTGATAAACGACGGCGTCGCTGGAAATAATTACCCTGCGGTAATTCCATCGTAAGGGGTGAATCATCCATTTCTTTATCATTCGAATTTAGAGAATACAAATATAGTTTAACGCATGGTACTGATCTTTCGCGATACAGTAACGGTTAAGTGGTACTAATGCGAGGATAAACGCCTGTAATAGCGACGTGTGGTAATATTAACGCACTGTGATACATCGCAGTATTAATGCATAATACAACGTGCTGCAATGTTAACACGTAGCGGACGATACAAACGTGTAGCGATGTTAATGCTCACAATACTAAAATACAGCAAGAACATGTAGCGATATTGACACTTGCACAACGCGTGGCCAGACAGTAATGATACCACGAAATGAATCACCAATTGTTCTACCAAACTCCCTCGAACAAAGCAACAAAAATAGGAAAAGATTGCAAGCATTCAAGTAACGAGAGAATGAATATCAAAATACTCGTGTTCATGTATGTTTTGAATAATTCGCCATTCGAAATTCCAATAACGGCATCCATCAATAACGTAACTGAATGAAACTCGACCAGAAACGCAGTTGCCAGGAACGTTTCAACGCGTAACGATTGTAATCAACGAAATTTATTCGCGTCAAGTTGTAAATCGATTAGCATGATTATTCGCGGCCGCGAAATTCGGTAGATTTTCAGCGGCCTCATCGTTTCGCGGCCACGGGGCTGACCGACGTTCGTTAACGACAGGAATGAAAGCTGAAGCTCCGTGAAAAGCAGCGTTCCGATGATTCGACGTTGTCGTCGCGAAGATTCAGCGTCTTTGACGAAGTAAATCGAATCGAATCTACGAACAGGCAAGAAGGATGGAGAAACGTTGAAAAGTCGAAGGATAGCGCGCCCCAGGCTATACGGAGAGGACTGATCCTAGTGACGGAGTTGATTCGATGCTTGTAATTCTTCGTGGATTCAAGCTCGAACGCTTTTCTTTATTTTTTGCAGTTCTTCGTTTCGCTCGTTGATGATCGTTCGCAATATTTCGTTTGTTCCTTCGTCTTCTTGTCTTTCTGATTTCCAGCCTCGGCTGTCAGACGAGTTGAAAACCTCGTTCGTCTTCGAAGTTGCACCTCGTCCTTTCGCGTGCCTGTAGATTTTTCTTTCGGGAACGCGGAGCTGTTCATAAGGAAGCTTTTGCAACTTTCAGGCATAGTCCCAATGGAGTTCTGTCCTGCTGAACTGCTTTCAGAGAAATCTGAGATACAAATGTACTATATTAGATTTACGAAATTCGTCGGTAGAATGTAGCGTACTTTCCCGATTACACCTTGGGACGATTGAATTTGTTAAACGAGAACGGTGTAGAATTTGTGTGAATCGAGTAAGTAAAGAACCATCGGATTTCCTGTTATTCGAGGCTGAATTATCCCTCGATTCTCGTTCAACGTTATCGAGGGTCTTACAGTATTTTCGATCTGCGTTTGATAAGGGAACTTCATTACATCGAGAGCAGTTAGCTATTAATTAACCAACAGAAGATCGTAGCAGACGTAGGCCTGGTAGGGAGCTTTTTAAAAGCGGCTACTCGATGGTTCTCTATAAATCCTTCGAGCTGGATGAAAAGGTACAAGATATCTCTGGTTCGATTTATAACCCGCTCCAACTCGTGGAAGACTCGTGTCACTGGCAAATTTATTCCAAATCCTTCCGACTCTTGCGGACCCGGTATTATTGTGACAAATTTGTCACGGCTCTTTTCGAACTCGCAGAAACTCTGTTTCTCGCGAATCGATTTCAATTTCATTCCGCGGAAATTTATTATTCTTCTAACAACCTCGTCCGACCTACTCGTTCAAACTCGCTCCGAGTCAATTGAAAGTTTATTTCGAGCAACCGAATTACCGAGTGCAGTACGTCTCTAAGATATTTCGTTCGGATCGGTTTCCGTAAACGATCGCTTTATTCGACGGGTCATCTTTCAAATTCGTATTTCAATATCGTATCTATCGTCATACCACGTGCGTATTCAATTTCGCCTCGTTCATCCGTTATTAGACTCATACTCGACTTATTTACGACCTTGAAGCATGTCCCCCTTTATTATTACTCGAAAAAAGAAGAGCGTCGGTGTTTGCGCGATATTGGCCTGGGTGGTTCTCGATACGAGCTTCGCACCACCAGGAAGAATTGTCAACCGACGCTGGAATTCTCGGTTGCTGGATTCCTCGAGCTCGACGAGAGTTTTCAAGTACATTCTAAAAGGAAGAGCAAAGAGAACAGCCGAGGGTAGATAAGGGGAAATAATTCCGTGAAACATGACGTCTTCCGATGAAGCATGATTTCTTTGCCTCGAGATTGAAATCCACGGATGTATCCCTTCGGGTTATTAACGTTGCTCTCTATCAATATTATTCGGGGATACAAACCGCAGCTTGCGAAACGCGACCGAAATTAGCGCGTTTAAATGTTTCCCGATAGATACTATACAAACATTCTATAAATAAATTTCAGATCCGAATAAGCAGAACCGAATAATTTAGCGGATTTAAATATTTGCCGATATCGTATCATTTCGAATTTGCTGCACCATCGTTTGCCTTACTAATTATCCCTTAAAAACTGCCATCACAGGAAATATCAACATGGGTGAAATTTCGCCTCGATTTGCTTTAAAAGTGGTAACGAGAGATTGAAAATAATTTACAGGGAGCAAAATTTGGCAATCTGGTTCAAGTTGATAACCTTCAAGGGTTGAACAAATATAAACGCACATCGGCAGAAATTATTCGCAGTTATACAGTTGATACAGACAGTCCTAAATCCTTCCAACAAGTCTCTCAACACTCAGTTACTTAAGTCAACTAAATTGAATTGGAAAGATTACGATCAGCCCCCGAAATATACCACCGAATCAGTGACGATCATCTAATAAGATTACTGGAACCTCTCGTTAGTCTCGTGAAGGTTTAGCTGCGTAAAGTTGCGTGGACAAAGAGGGGGCGAAACAGGTACTCGGATCAATGGGCTGGAAAACAGGGGGTGTAAACGGCAAGAGGCACGAATCTCAAACTTTTACCTCCCTCGAACTTCTCCCTTGGCATACCGCTACGAATACAGGCTGTAACGTTGCTCGCATGATCACCCTCCCATCGAAAATGTCGAGGGAGCCATTTCGAGTAGCGGACGCGGCGTTATATTTAATGTACAGGCTGGTATACTTAAGTTACGAGCATGCAGTGGGGTCGTGAGTGAATTTAGAGGCGAACACGCTACGTCAGAGTGTTATCGGTACTGAAATTCAACCGTTTCGAGACTTTGAACGAGTAAGAACGGTTCACTTTGGTGATTCGGGAAACACAGTGCGAACAAGCAGAATGAGTCGACGATTGATCAGACGCGTCGGAGTTAACGCCGACTGAATTCCCTTGAATCGCGCAAAATTGATTCTCCAGAGTGAATAAACGCAGAAACGAGTGTTGTAATGTTTAACTAAAGTTAATAACTCGAGGGAACTGTGCTATCATAATGTTTTTTTTAATTTCAGTTCTTTGTAGTTCTTTAATCTTTTAATACGATATCAGTCTTTATTCTTATTCGTGTACTGCCCTTTAAATCAAAGTTCTTTAACTTAGGTTCCTCTAACTTTTTAAATTTAGTGGCTAGTCAATTATAAGTCTTGTTGAGTAGATTAAAGAGTACTAAGAAATGAAGGAGCAAATTAGCACCTCAAAGTGTTAAGGAATCATAATCTTCTCTATTCCTTCTCCGTCGTCACAAGGATCATTCGCAATACCAACAGGCATTTCAGACTATCCATTCAAATGCATATACCCTATAATCTGACTCTAACTGTTGTAGCACCGGATGTACGAGTAGC